GGGGTGTTTGTCTTTTTGAGACAGGGTCTCTATGTAGCCCCAGCTGACCTGGAACTCACTATGTAGACTAGGTTGGCCTCTGAATCACAGAGATCCACCTGTCTCTGCCTCCCAAGTGTGGGACTAAAGGTGTGTACTACCATACCTGGCTTAAAAGGAAGCATTTAAAAAAAGTAAAGACCATGTCTATAAAACCTTATGGGATGAAAGGTTGAAAGAATCTGAAGGAAAAGAGGCTAATAGATCAAATAATTTCTAAATTCATATAGAGTAACAAATGACTAAGAACAAACAAGAACAAAGACACACTGTAGTCACTCACTATAATAAAAATCAGGGGATGAAGGTTAGGGACAGATATTTCAATTGAGTAAAATGGTGCTAGACTAAGCAGGTATTCATGACAAACTACAGACTATGAAACTCCCCTCTCCCCCATACCAAACAAAACCAAAGCCCTAAACCTCAGAAACCATGTAACAGCCCCAAGGAAAACAAGGCATGTTTACCACTGTTCTGACAAGATAAAAACAGAATTAGGGGGAGGAAGGAAAAAAGCATCTGAAAATCATTGTATAGCAAAAGAAAAATGCAACATAACAAATTGTAATGCCAACAAAAGATATTTCTCATAAATTAAAAAGGCAACCAGAAACATTTTGAGTAATTGGATAGGATAACAAGTCACAGAGGTTCAGACTCAAAGAGCCAACAATCATGTGAAGACTCACTGTATTAGTGAGGAAATGAATTTAACAATAAGATACCACTTTATACTTATCACACTGGGAAACATAAAGGAACTATAGTACCTACTACATTCCATATGAAATGTAAATGATTACAGGACTATAGAAAGTTATCAGACAAATTCATTAAAATTAGAAGCCAAAGGGTGGCGAGATGGCTCAGCCAGTAAAGGCACCTGCTGCTATCTGAGTTCAATTCTCGGAATCCACATCCTGGAAAGAGAGAACCAACTATTTCCAGTTGTTCTCAAGTGACCTTCACAGGAGCACTGAGGGTCATGTGTGCACCCCACACTATGTACACATACAAATTTTAAAAATCTAAGAAAATAAGAAGTCCATTTTCCTCGATTTAGAAACAAAGTCTGTTAGTAGATTATACAATGGAAATAAAAGCATAAACACATTTGCCCAAGAGTATATGTGTTAAGAATATTTCTTGTAGAATTCTAAGTGTCAGAAAGCTGGAAATGAAGGGATCACTTTTGAACAGTGAAATAAATACAACACAATACAACACTTGTACAGCAGAATAGTAGGCATCTATCATTAGAAAAAATGAGAGCTTTACCAAAATCAAACTGGCTTGGAGGACTATTCTTGATGTGCTGCTATGTCAGAAAGGTTAAGACGTAAAATAAAGACATTGAAATTCTTTACCTGGCGTGGATTTTGTTGACCAAACTTAACTTGATGAGTAACAGCTTTAATAAACTTCTGTTGCTTTGCTCCCTTCTTATTCTTTAGACCGAAAGTTTTGTCCTAAATGAGAAAGAACACAGAAATGTCCCATTAAATTATTACTATTTTAAATATATTTTTATGTATTTATTTATGTATTTATTTATTTATTTATTTATTATTTTTTGGTCTTTTTGAAGCAGGGTCTCCCTGTAGCCCCAGCTGTCCTGGAACTCACTATGTAGACCAGGCTGGGCTTGAACTCACAGAGATCCACCTGCCTCTGCCTCCCAAATGCTGGGACTACAGGTGTGCGCTGCCACACTTGGCTTATATTTTATTTTTGTGTGTATGAGTGTACTGTCTGAATGTAGGTAGGTGCACCTGTGTTGTGCAATGCCTTTGGAGGTCAGAAGAGGGCTTTGGATCCCCTGACTGGAGTTATAAATAGATGGCTGTTAGCCACCATGGTGGGTGCTGGGAATCAAACTCAGGTCGTCAGCAAGAGCAGTCAGTGATCTTAACCGCTGAGTCATCTCTCTAGGCCCAATTACTGTCTTTAAAAAATATGTAAAAAGCATTTATTAATAGGAAAATATTCTTTATGTCATACAATGTGTAAAATACCACATCAGGCAAAGTCACTATGCACGTATTTGTCCTTCAAACATTAACCAGGCCTATTCACAGTTCAGTATCTACTCAAAACTGTCATTAAATGTTACTATGCTGTTTTCTCCCATAATACATTTCAGATGATCAGTTCTATGGGAAACGTTGAATTGTTTTTCTGGGACAAGTAGTTCCCCAGTTTGGGAGATGCTTATGCCCACAGTATTAACTTTCTTTTCTTTTGCAATACTGGCAATAGAACCTAGGACCTTGTGCATGTGACACAATCATTCTATCACTGAGATCAACAGCAATCTCAGATTCTTAGTCCTAAATACAAGATATCTTACAGCCTTTAGCGGAGAGAATAATAGCCAACACCTTCAAAACTTGTTTGACTTCAGGAGGTACTTTTGAAGTGTATACTGAAGGACAAGACACTGCTGAATTTATTTTGGGGAACACTCTGCAGAGAAAGACACATGAAATTCTGAACTAGTTTTTGGAGCAATAAAATCTTCAAGCACTAATTTGACCAGAAAGTAGTATTTTCCCAAGAAATAATTTATTTTATGTCTATGAGTATTTTTCTTGTATGTAAGTGTACCATTTGCATTCAGTGTCTGCAGAGGTCAAAGGACAGCGTCAGATCCCCTGGAACCAAAATTATGGACTGTTAACTTCCATATGGGTGCTGGAAAACGAACTAGCCCTCTGTAAGAGCAGCCAGTGCTCTTAACCACCGGGCAATCTCTCCCGCTCCAGAAAGTAGCATTTTAATTAAACTAGGGTTTTTATTAATTTAATGGAAGCTTTCCATTATGTAAGTGCTCATTTCGTGATCAGCAGTATGTCAATCCTTGGCTCTCTACCTCTTAATAGGAAGCATAAAACCTTTAGAAGGGACTGCACAGGAATGTAAGGATGTGTGTGCATCGTTTAGGGGCTATAATGAGTTGAATGGTGTCCCTCAAAAATTCATGTGCACCACACCTTAAATGTGACTTATTTGGGAACAAGTTTTTGCGGACGTCATGTACAAATGAGGTCCCATTGGAACAGAACAAAGAGAAGGCAATGTGAAGACAGAATCTGGTGTGACACAAATAAATACAAGGAAAGCCAAGGATTGCTGGATGCCATCAGAGACTAGGAAGAGGCAGAGGACTTTATCCTGCAGCCTTCAGAGGGAGGAACATGACCATGTTGATACTTGGATTCCAGACTTCTAGCAACCAAAATGGCAAGAGAATCAGCCACAAGTAATAGTTTGGGGGTAATCTGTTACAGCAGCTCAAAGAAACAGTGGGATTTTCCCTAACATGAATGGGTGGCAAGTCTGACGATACTTGTATGTGAAATCTTTTTCTCTTTATTTTCTCTGAAAGGATTTGGCAGGGAGAGTAACAAACCTGGGGAAGAGAACACATGAGGGACAGTATCTTTTAGTTTACCACATAGATCCAGATCTTTTAGAAGACATTTTCAGGCCCATTTCCTGGCTTTTATCTTTTTTTTTTTTGGTGGAGGTGGGGGATGGGAGGGAGACAGGATTTTACTATATAGTCCAGGCTGGCTTTGACATGAAGATTCCCTTGCCTCAGTTTCCTGAATGCTTGGATTTTGGGTATATACCACCATACTTAGCATGAGCCATATATTTTAACCACTTGCTCCAGTCTGTGTCCGTTGTTCCAGAAGAGGTAAACCACTCTCTCTGCTGAAGAACACATCTGTTTGTCATGGTGTTAAGAATTACGGCTACTTCTAACAGCTTTAATCTACCTTTCAGCCTCTTGCTTTCTGTATTACATACTGTCTTCCACTGTTGACTTTTCCAGAATGCTCCACATCAAGTTTATTGCTTGCTCTGTTTGAATCAGTTACCAACTCATCCATGTGCTGCACCTTTCCAAGGTGGCAGGTCAAGATTACAGATACCTCCTCCACATCTCAAAACAGGATTTGTGGGGGCTGGAGAGATGGCTGAATGCTCTTGCAGAGGACCCAGGTTTGATTCCCAGCACCCATATGGTGGCTAACAACCATCTGTAATTCCAGTTCTGGGGATCTGATGCCCTCTTCTGACCTCCTTGGGCACTGCACGACATGGGTGCACTTACACATATGCAGACAATACACTCATACACATAAAATAAAAATAAGCTAGGTGTGATGGCATACACCTTTAATCCCAGCACTTGGGAGGCAGAGGCAGGTGGATCTCTGAGTTCAAGGCAAGCCTGATCTACATAGCAAGTTCCAGGTCAGCTAGGGCTACAGGAAGACCATGTCCCAAAAAGAAAAAAAAAAAAAAAAGAATTAATAAAAATTTTTTTTAGATCCCCAGTATTTGTATTTTTCTTTCTCATTCTTCTGCTCATGACCAATTTCAGAGGGGAAAAAAGGCAAAAGTCTTTACTTCTGAATAAAACTGGAGACCCTGAGGCATTTAGTCTGAAATAAGTAACAATATTAAAAAGAACTATCTGAAAGCATCCAACACAATATAATCTTTATAGTATTTCAAACCCAACAGAATAGAACTTTTCATGCTTACAGTTTTAAAAAAAAATATTTTTATTTTATATGTACAAGTGTTTTGTCCTATGGAGTGTGTGCAATGCCCGTGGAGGCCAGAAGGCATCAGATCTCTGGAACTGGGGTTGCAGACAACTGTCAGCAGCCAGGTCTTCTGCAAGAGCATAAAGTGATCTTAACTGCTGAGCCAGTTCTCCATCTCCTCTATCAATGTTTTTAAGAGAAAAAGAAAGAAGCTCAAGGGCATTTTGGTTCTGAAAGGTTGTCATTGGAAAATACTGCTTTATTCACCATTATATATCCATTTACTAAAACTTTCCTTTACTCATGTAATATCTACTTCATGTTTTAATATCACAACATGGCATTGCATAATTCTACATGATTGTTTTATAGCTTATGTATATGAAAAAAGGAAGCATACACAAGCTGAAGTCGTCTGTCAAGCTTTCCAGCATCCCTTTTTCTACAGAAAGTTTAATACCCCATCCAATTCCAAGGTAAAACAGTCAAGGGTAATGTGACAGATAGAGAGATGAACACAGGGTAACAACCGAGTATGAAATACCATATCTTCTTTTTATAATAATGAGCTACCATGAGTGGGAGAAAAGGTTCAGATAAAAACACGACGAGGATCACAGTGTATCAGCATCTATAAACACTTTCAGAGACGAGTGTAACCGGGGTTCAACCCAGGCGCCACAAGCAATTACAGAGAAGCAACAAGCTATGATAAAGACCACCAGATAGCGAAACAGACACTGAAGTAAAGACTTAGGGCAGCTGGAAGACAAAGGACTTCCCATAGCAGCTTCTTGTAGCACCAGATCTCAAATAAAGGTTTCCAGGTTCAAGCACACCTCTTTAAAACATAATTAACCAGTTTAATGACCTATTTTGAAAGTGTCTAATAAGAATTCAGATTTTTAAAAAATATTCTTTGGTAAGAAATTTGTTTTTCCAGAGAAAGGAGACACATCTACTTAGCATATTCCTGAAATATCTCTTTTAGCCATGGGAAAAGTGTGTCTCACCCTAACTTTTTAAAACTTAAAAGATTTACAATAGTGAGGCAGTATATATATAGTAGTCCACAAGGGGGGTTTAAATCCTAGCTTGTTGCTTGCCAGTTTAGTAAACTTGGGCAAGTTAATTAACTTCTGTGTCTGTTATCTCAAGTGTAAAATGGGTACTAATACTCACCTCTAAGACCAACCAAAGTGCTATGTGAACTTATCACTTCTACATGGCTCTTCTATATTCAAAACACTGGGAAACTATGTCTACCCAATACCTGTTAATTATTAAATGACAGTGTGTTTGAACCAAAGTATATTTGATTCTAATCAAAGTCCTTATACTTTCCACCATGAAAAGTTGACGTGTTTTGCAGAGGAAACAGATCAGATTGGTTCACACTAACAAATACAGCCCCAGCTACAAAAAAAGTTTTTTAAATAGGACACTGTGAATCTAAGGTAACAACAGTATCTCTTAAAAGTAGGATGGTTTACAATTTGGACTATTTCAATAAAGCTTTTCCTGAGTTTGGGACAGGCCCTTGCTGAAAGGTGGACTTGGATTTGGCAGTAGGATCGTATTAGGTAGGAAAAGGAAGGTGCTTTTAGTGAACCCCAAATCATGGCTAAAATAAAAATAGAGAAACAGTATATTCATAAGGTCTCAAAAATTAGCGCTAGGTTAAGAACAGTGTATACAAAGGAGTTCACAGAACAGGCTGTAAGAGAAGGACAGTTTCCTGAGTCTCCAAGGGTCACTTCCAGATGTCACTTCCAACTTTGACCCTTTCTCTCTGGAACTGCACTCCTTTGACAGGCCTGCCTCTGCTCCTTAAAGATGTGGGTGGGGGTGGCACAGGGAAAGGGTATGTCAACACCGAACAGTGTTCCAAGGTAAGTGGGCTCTACTATTTGAGATACTAGGGTAGGCAGAGGCTGACCTGTATTAACTCAGCAGTTTTATCCTCAAATAAACTACTTAATGTATTTTGCTGTCCATTTGTACAGTGGATATCCTGAAACTGACTTAGTCATCAACAGTGGACCTTAGCTGAAATTTGTCAGCAGCTAATAACTTTTCTCCATCTTTCTACACACCTGGGTCCTGCCTGCACAGGTCTCTACTACCTTGTCTGCCACATGTCGTTTGGTGGATATCTTTATTTGCTTGCCCTAAACCAAAAAATTTCTTTCCCCATAATCATACTTATTTTCATTTTGTTAAGGTTGGGTCTCACACTCCAGCCAAGGCTGGTCTGGAACTCACTATGTAGTTCAGGCTATCCTCCAACTTACGATTCCTGTACCTCAGTCTCCTCAGTGTTAGGATTATAGGAATGCACTATGCATGGCTTATGATCAGTCTTTCTGTTGCTCAACGCTGACCTCAATTTATTACTTTGGCTATAAGAAAACAAATGTTATATACTGTTTGGGACTGGTATATAAATGGAGAATTAAACTTGATCTATAACCCTATGTGAGATACAGTTCAAGAAGAAAGCATATTCATGCAGGTGAATTCCTGGAGCTCTACATAGTTTCAGAGAACAAAAGAAAAACATGCAGACAATCAAAGTTTTTACAAATGTGTACGAAAATTGGTAGGGTGCTGTTTTACATAAATTTGACTGGACATTCTATCAGGACAATCTACTTCTATCAGGATATGATGATCAATTAAGGGTGGTTGTATTCTTATGTGTTCTTTGGAGATACCTTTACTAATGTAATTCAAGTTATTTTTTTCCTGAACTTAAAAATAATCTTGTTGCTGGGCATGGTGATACACACCTTTAATGCCAGAACCTGGGAGGTATAGGCAGGCAGATATCTGTGAGTTCAAGGACAGACGGGGCTACAAGGAGACTCTGTCTCAAAAAAAAAAAAAAAGAAAAGAAAAGAAAATCTTGTTGACTGAAGAGAGCAGCTCAGTGGTCCAATGCAAGTGCAGAATGTGATGGTCTGCGTTCAATATCCAGAAAAACAAACTCTCATTACCAGATGAATGAAACCAAAACATATACATCATTTTTAGAGTTGATAGGTACTATAAATAACTTCAATATATATTAGTCTTATTTAGTCTGGTTGTGGCACTTCCTGTCAGGGCTGAAGAGTACAAATTAGGCCATGAACACAGGTTCTACACCTCCGTAGTAAGCCAGGATTAGAAGTCTTCCTAAGCATTTTGTTTAAATAAAACCAGCCAAATTAACAGCTATGACAAATCTGACAAAGTTCTAGTTAGATTTGTACAAGGAAACCTGGAGGAGCCTGTCTATCAAGGCTGTAACAAAATGCTGAAAAACAGCCAGTCATAAACACCTCACCTCCAAACGCCGAAACATTCATTGTGGTGTTTCAGTAAGAAACTAGGCTACAAGAGGCTACCCATTATTCAGATATGCAATAAAACGGTCATGGCTCTCAAACGTACCCCAAACTCATGAGCTATTTATTTAAAAAATGAAGAGGATTCGTGGACATTGGAGGAAGACTATCTCACAAAGGGCTGGATACTGTTTACTGAATGTCAAGCATGATTCACCATCTTAAGGAAACTCACGGATACCGCTGTTGTAAACCTGTAAACACGCAGGAACGCCCAAATCAAGCCTCGGTCACTGACGGCCTACAGGCTCGAGGCGTTCAAATACAAGCAGTGTTGGTGTGTGTGTAAACTGAGCATGGCATTTTACATAGGCAGCGATACCGCACTCACTCACTTCAGACTACACATATGTACAAGACGCCGGGCTGCTGACGGGGAAAGTTCCCAGGTGGCTCAATAAAGCCACCGATAATTTCCAGGCTCGAAAAAACAAGTGTCGGTGGCTGACAGAGAAGTGAGGTGCGTAGGGGCTGAGGAGCATTCCAGAAGGACGTTCGTTCAGATGGAGCCCGAGGAACGGCTGCATTCGCAAGGAGGAAGGCGGCCCGGGTCCGCTGCCGGTGGGCGCGGCGGGCGCGTGGGTGGAAACCTAGAGGCCGCCCCGGCGCCGCGGCGTCACTACAGCAATTGAGGCGGCGAGCGCCACCGGGCCGGCCCACCCGGGAGAGCGCCAACACGTGGTCCCCCGAGCGGCGGCCCCAGGCCCACGCGGGGGGAGGGTACGCACCTCGATGATCTTCTCCTTCTTCTTCTGCTCCGCCTTCTTGCTACCCCCGGCCTGAGCCTGTTTCTTGGGGGGCATCGCGGAGGGGGCACCGGGCGACTGCGGCGCAGATGGCTACCGTCGGGCCTCCGGCAGCGCGGCGGGAGCAGGAAGACCCGGCCGCCGCCGCAGCGCACGAAAAGCGACTCTCTCATTCGCCGCGAGGAAGCGGCCTTTGCGACAGGTCGGCGCCGCAGAGCATTGTGGGGCGCGAGGAACGGCGCCCGGAAGTGGAGCTGCGCTTGCGCTCCGGCTGCGCTCTGCGGGAGGGGGCGGGGACCAGACGTGGGAAAGTGATGACGCTGTGCACGTGATGCCGTGCACGTGATGCCCTGGTCCGGCTTTGGACGGCAGCTTCCTGCGGTTTCTGAGTTCTCGCAGTGGGGTGGCGAGTACAGCCACTGTCACCTCGCTTGTGTGGGTCCCAGCACTAGATAGACAGTACTAGATAGCGTAATACAGAGTACCCTCCTGAGCGACCACCGAGCAGCTACGGCGATTCAGGGGCCCCCTGGCGTGGGGAGGTATGTTAAGGCACCCAGGTGTGCATCTCCCTTGGAGGTCAGAAGACGGCGTTGGATCCCCTGGAACCGGAGTTCCTGATGGTTGTTAGCCTCCAACGGGATGCTGGGAACCAAACACAGGTCCTCTGTAAGGGCAACCAGTGCTGCTCTTAATGGCTGAACCATCTCTCCATCCTCATGAATTGTTTTTTAAATTTTGTGAGGGCTTCACTAAGTTGCCCATCCTGGGCTTCACTTCACTTTGTAGCCTACACTTGAATTTATCATTCTCCTACCTCAGCCTCCTAAGAAGGTGGAATTATAATATTGCCACCAGGCCTAGCCTAAGAGGAGGAAATAGAGACACAAAGAGCCATTAGGGAGGTATACAGAGGCAAGACAGACCATGGGTAGACACAGCCAGAAGGTGGCTATGTGTCTGCCAAGGAGAGCCGTCAGAAGAAACAAATATAGGGATAGGGATGTAGCAGCAGTTGGTAAAGTGGTTGCCTAGCATGCATAAAGCTTGGATTTGATCCCCGGCATCACTTAAACCTGGCGTGGTGGTGCATGCTTGTAATCCGAGCACTTGGGAGTTAGAGATAGAGGGATCAGAAGTTTAAGGTCATCCTCGGCTATAGTGAGGTCAAGGCCAGCCTGGGCTATGTGGGACCTTAAAATTGGACTTCTAGAGCCTCTGAAACTACAGGAAAATGAGTTTTTATTATTCAAGAACTAAATCTGTGGTACTTTGTTATGGTAACCCTAGCAGAGTAATATTCAGATAAAGGACCAAAGTGTATTGTAGGTATTTTATTTAATGATCGGCAGAGTCAAAAGTACCATTGTATCCAAAGTCGTCTCATAAAGATAAGACTGATTTAACTGACTATATAAATTGCAAACTCATTGTATGAATTGAGGTGATACCTATTAGTATTTTTATTTAAATATGTAACACTTCAAAATCTGTGACATTTGGCAGTCTCCTTTAAGACATTTTCCCTCCAAAATAAACTGTGACAAAAGATGTGCCAGTGTTTTAGTAGAGCGTGTAAAATCTCTTTTAACTTGTCAGTTTTGAGTTTCAGTACGGTAACCCTTCGCTGCAACTTATACTGATACAAAATTTTCTTAAGTGGATGACTTATCTGTTTCTATTTGAAATACTTCTTGCTACCATTATAATAGCTATTATGGCATTTGTCAAGAAATCAAGATGTACAATTTCCAAATATTTTTTTGCTTCACTGGAGCTTAAACTATTTTTCATGATTCCCATCAATCATGTTATTTCCCTAGTAATAGCTTTCTGATGCTTTTTCATGTCCTCTTGAATTCAGTACATGGGATCCTACACTTTTCTTAGTGCAATAATGCTTGGTTTTTAACTTCTGCCGTTTCAGTTGATGGTCTCTGAGGCCACCTTTTCCTATTCCTCATCTTCACACCCCACACATTGCCCTTTCATGTGTTAGAGCTTTTCATAGTCTTGCATATATGACCATAAATGAAAATGAAACATTTCTTTTCCATCTAGGTACCATAACCAAAGCTTTAGTTCTTCAACCTCCAAACACAGTCAAGCCAGAGTCTCCCCGCCTCCCCCAATTCTGGGTAGAATTGAGGGCTTTGTATCTGTAGTAAGCAAGTGCTCCATTGTGAGCCACATTCCAGCCCTCTTCAGGTATTTTCAAACTGTCCCCTTTCAATCTCATAGCCTTATTTCACAGCTGCATCTTTTTCTTAGACCATTATAAAATGTTCTTAATTTCATTTTCTTGCTCCAATTTCTTCATACCATATTACTCTCAGAGTAAGTCCTCTGATATGAATTTGATGATGTTATCCTATTCCTTACATGTCTTTGACTATTTTCTATCTATATATGAATGGTTTAATCACAGGTTTTTATTTTACTGATGAGCATAAGATTCTATAATACATGTATGCTCATTCTGTAGTTACAGTAGTGCCAAATTTTCCTCTAATCATTTTTTATACATTTATAGTCTTAGAAGTAAAAATCTAAACTCTATATTTTTATCCTTTTCTAGAATTTATAAATTATCTGACATTAGTGATTATATATTTTTCTTGTTTTTTCTGCTGTGATAAAACACCACGACCAAAAACAGTATAAAGAAGGAAGTTTATTTTAACTTACGGTTCTACCAGAAAGAGTCCATCATGGCGGGGAACACATGACATGAAGGTGGGAGCAGAAAACTGATCACATAAAAATAAGAATTAGAGAAGGGGGAAAGCGCAGGAGAGGGGAAAAGAGAGAAGGAGGGAGGACAGAGAGGAGAAAGAAGGAAGTGGGGTAAGGCTATAAACCCTGAACACTCACCCTCAGTGACATATGTCCTTCAGTAAGGCCTACCTCCTAAAGATTCCATAATTCTCCCAAACAGTGCCATCAACTGAGGACCAAGTGTCCACATATGTGAGCCTATGAGGGACATTTCATATTCAAATCACCACACCTTACATATTTTGTTAAAATAAGTGCTTAACATAGTTCAGTGATTCTAACTTAGAAGTTCATGTGATGAAGTCAGCAAATTAGACTGATAATCTAAATGGAATGAAGGGACTTTTCTACTTCACATGAACATTATGAATTTTTACCATTTAAAGCTTTTTTTCCTTGCATTTTCCTTTTTTGTTTGTTTTGAGACAGCATTTCACTGTGTGCCAAGACTGGATTCAAACTTGTGATTCTCTCACCTTAGCCTCTTGAGTGCTGGGATCATAGGATCCACTACCATTCACATTTGATATTACATTCATTTGTTCATGAAATATTAACACTTTTCAACTAGTGGAACACCGGAATAAATAGGTAACAGTAGTGACTAAATCATTTCATGCGACTAAAACCCTCATATATGTGTGGAATCGCCGATCTCATCACTGTGACACTTAACAAAAACGCTTGACAGAAACAACTTCAAGAAGAAGAATTTATTTCAGTTTATGACTTCAGAGTGTTTGGCCCTCATTGCTTGGCCCAAGGCACTTGGGCAGAACTTCATGGTGGACGCTTATGTTGGAGGCGTTTCTTCACCTTATGGTGACAGAAGAGAGGAATACAGGCAGGAGCAGGGCAAAATACTGCCCCCAAGGGTATGCCCTTGTGATGTACTTGTTCCCATGAGCACCTCCTACTTTTCACCACCTCCCAGTGACATCATCCTGGGATGACTCCATCAAGGGATTAATGTATTGACTAGTCAGAGGTCTTAGCATCTCCGAAGCACCCTCACAAGAACATCCATACTAATTGCCTAGGCATCTTTTAATCCAGTCAAGTTGACATGATTAATCATTACAACACACACACACATATATATATATTCAAATAATTTGGGAATAATTATGTAAAGCAGGTGTCTTAGAAACATGAGCAGAGTCTGACAGTTTAAGCAGAATTTTATTTAGCAAAGCAAGCACTGCAAAGATTAAGTGGGATCATTTAAAGAGGGAAGGTGCAGCCTGCTTTGTGGACATTTAAATCTTTTGTTTTTAATTTTTAAAAGCATACAAAGTGATGGATTTCATCAAGCCTTTTTCTTTTCTTTTTTCTACTTTTTTTGAGACAGGGTTTTCCTGTAGCCCCAGCTGGCCTTGAACTCGCTGTGTAGACCAGGCTGGCCTTGAACTCACAGAGATCCACCTGCCTCTGCCTCCCGAGTGCTGAAACTAAAGATGTGTACCACCATACTGGCCCATGATGACATTTTCATACTGTCATTATACTTTGTTCTTATCTTCTCCCACTTCTTTTCCCCTCTCCTTGGACCTCTTCTTTTGTGTTTCTTGCCCTACATTCAAATAGTCTTTCTTTTTAAAACTCGATTCTGCTTATGATAGAAAGTATATTTATCTTTCTGAATCTGGCTTATTTCACCTAACATAATGTATTAGTTACTTTCTGTTGCTGTGATAAAACACTGACCAAAGCAATTATAGAAGGAAGAGTTTATTTAGCTTACAGTTCCAGAGGAATCAGAGTGCATTATGGTGGGGAGGCATGGTGACAGGAGGTGGCCAGAGCAGGAGCAAGACGAGAGCAAAGCTCATATATATATATGTCTTTTTGAGACAGGGTCTCCCTGTAGTCCCAGCTGGCCTGGAACTCGTTATGTAGACCAGGCTGGGTTCAAACTCACAGAGATCCTCCTGCCTCTGCCTTCTGAGTGCTGGGACTAAAGGTGTGCACCATCACGCCCAGCAAAAGGTCTCATATCTTAAAGCAGGCACAGGAAACAGAGAGCAGCTAGAAATCTGGCAAGGCTTAAGAACTCTCTAAACCCACCCCCAGTGATGTCCATCCTCCAGAAAGGTCTCACCTTTTAAGACCTCCTGAAACGGCACTACCAACTGGGGACAAAATGCTCCAATACTTGGATTCTTTGGGGGACATTCTCATTCAAACCACCACACATAATGACCTCCAGTTCCATCCATTTTCCTGAAAATATGGTTTCATTTGCATAGCTTAAAAATTGCATTTGTGTATATCAGCATTCATGTTCTTTTAAAAAATATTCTTTAATTGCTGGGCGTGGTGGCGCATGCCTTTAATCCCAGCACTTGGGAGGTAAAGGCAGGCAGATCTCTGTGAGTTCAAGGCCAGCCTGGTCTACATAGTGAGTTCCAGGACAGCTGGGGCTACAGGGAGAC